CTTCATAAGTGGCTGATTCCAGAAGTGAGCCATTGGTCCCCAGCTGTAAATTTCTGAGAGTGTAATGCTTCCATACACTGGTGAGCAACAGGATTAATTTAGATGGTTATTTAATATGTAGTTTTCCCCCTGCACAATTTCTTTAGCTCTGTAGGTTTATTGAATTCAGGCTGAAAACTAGAAGATCTGTGTTCTTATTAAGAGGCTACTAAATTTTTACTTGCTAGGTGACATAGACAAAGCTAATTGATGTAGGTAGCACAGTGCTTGTCAAAGTAGCAGTCTGAAGAGACTAGCCACAAGGTCACTTTGGAGGTAATTCAACAGAATAACTGTGATAATCACATCCACAACCTAAATCCCTGCATTTCATTTCAAGCCCTGGAGGTGATCAATAGAAGATAAGCTTGCTATTACCATGGTTATCTTGTTGATCTACATCCAAGACAAACACTCTAGGAGTTGCTTTTCTCCGTACCTTTAACTTGAAAATACCTGTCATTTAAAACCTGTAGCGTGGAGACACTGTCATAGAAAAACAGCACACCTTCAGCTGTGTGGCAGAGATAAAGATGAATTCGTAAATCCATACCAAATGTAAAAGTAGCCTACCACCAGTTTTTTTTAATGATGTCAGCAATCATGAAGACCATCTTTGTTTAAAGCTAAAATATGACGGCTTCTGTTAGGATTTTGGTTTTGACTGAGAGCTCTTCTTTGCCTAGAATTAAGCAGCAAACCAAATCCCAAATATATTATAACTAGCTTGAAAATACAAAATCAGTAAAATTTAGAAATTCAGATGATGGGAAGATAATCAAGAGTCTCCCTAGGCACCTGTCAGAATTCTGCAGCCTGTTCATGCATAATCTGAATATTTATCCATTCCATGGTTACTCGCCAGAGATTTGTTTTAAACCTTCTGTATTTTGTCTGAGTAGAGGATTTGTTCTCCCTCCCCCCTCCACACACACACATACACACTTCTTGACCCTGTATTTGACTATATTCCGACTGTCTCCAAAACACACGGGCAGGGGTGGTGAGGAAGAGAATAGGATTTTAAAAGCGTGGTTAATGACAGAATTATTGTAAAAATGTTAGAAAAGATATGTTCTGATGTCTGACCTTCCTGGAGTTCTAATCCCACACATGTAAGGAGATCAAAACGAATACAAGCACATTTTAAGGTTAGAGAACACCTTCTCTGATAAATTAGTCCCTTTGTAGATCTCAACATTGAATTAAAATAGAGCACTCAGGCATATTTCAGGCTAAACTGTTACATTTGCATTAAAGGTGCAGGACTCAGGCATTGACCAAGTTCATGCGGAGTCCAGAATGGTTTGCTCCGCCTTTACTGAGCTTCAAGGGAGTGTGTGTGGGGAGGGGGAGGGGCAGATCTCTCCGCTGTTCGTCTCAGTTTAGGTTAACGTCCTTCCCAGAGACCTAGCTGTGTGTCTGCCCCAGATATCTTGGCAAAGCCCGTGTTCAGAAGGCAGAGCAGATGTCCCTCATCCAGATTTTTATCACAGATGTCAGCCACTACTATCCAGATGGGTTTTATTTTCACTTGAATTTTGTTTTACTGTATAGTTTTATTTTTATATGCATTGTATTTTATTTAATATTTATATCTATATATATATTTAATTTTATGTTTGAACTGAGAGCTCCTCCCACTTGCTTGGCATTTTCACTTTACCACTTGAGTCAGGCATCCAGTCTGACATTTTGCTCATTAACTGAAGATAGAGACTCTTAAACTCTTCTGCCTGGGCTGGCTTCAAACCTCCATCTTCCTATCTCAGTCTTCTGAGTAGCCTGGATTACAGGGATGAGCCACCATCACTGGGCTAGCAAATCTTGATTCTGTCACATGTGCAAGTGTTACGTAAGTAACTTCCATAAGCCCACTAAAATGCTCTTGAAAACTGGCCTTAAATTTATTTCCCAAATAGCATACCATCTTTATCATTTTTGAATACAGTCTTGTAACAATGCATACTTGAGATGTTTCTGTGTGTTATTTTTTCTTTAACTAATGTATACAAGAGTTCACCCTTTAAATCTTTGCCAGTAATGGAAAGCCACTGTTTTCCTGATTCACATCGAAAGAAACAGGTCATTACTAAAATAAGAAAAGACAAAATATTTAACCATGAGCTGCTTGAAAGTATACATTGGAACTTGCTGCACCTATTTTACTAGAAGGCAAGAAATACATACTTTATTTTGTCCAAAAATAGGTAGAGGTGCCAGATGTTGGTGACTCACACCTGTAATCCTAGCTACTCAGGAGGCTGAGATCTGAGGATCATGGTTCAAAGCCACTTCTCCCAGGAAAGACTCTTATTTCCAATTAACCAGCAAAAAGAGAAGTAGAGCTGTGATCAAATGGTAGAGCAGTAGCCTTGAGCAATAAAGCTCAGAGACAGCAGCCAGGCCCTGAGTTCAAGTCCCAGGACCAGAACAATAACAACAACTACCAAAAGGTAGAAGTTATTATCTTAACAATCTTTATATCCATGCAAAATGTAAAGTGACCTTGACATAATTCATCTATATTTGTAAACTTTTGACTATATACACATGTATCTAATGCACATATATATGTGTATATATATATGTATGTGTGTATATATATATATAGATATATATAGATATATATAGTAGCAGTCAAGAATTATCTCCAGTGTGGCTCATGGGTGGGATGTGAACTCTGAGGGAAAGTAGAAGTGTTTCCTATATCAACTCTCTGGAGAACCAAGGAGGCCATTGCTTGTAAGAACCATGGTAATCAAATACAGGATATAAATGGTTCCTCCGTGTGAAAATCCGCTACTTTCAACAACCCAGAAGTGAATAAATATGGTACTTTTGTTGGGGTATTAATTATCTTTTGAACTCTTACTCAGTTCTTTGAACTTACCTTATCTTTGCTAATTATGCTCCTGATGGAAAAACTTCATACATGTTCAACATGACTTGGAAATGCATGCACTTTATCATCAAGCAGATAACAAGAAGAGCTACTAATATTTCCTAGGTGCCAAGCACCAGGCTTCTCACTTAACATAGATTATTATTACAGTCACCAAAATCACTGTGAAGTTGGTACTGCTATTATCCCTGGTAATACTTATCTCCTTGGATAAAATCATTTAGCTTGTGCAAGGTCACAGAGACACTAAGTTGAGGAAATGAGATTTAAACTGGAATGGTCAGACTGTAATCCTTTACCCTGAATCATGATTTAAGACAAGCTTTCTAGTATTCTTTTGTATCTCCATAGCAGGTCCCAGCTCTGCCACAAAGCGTGTCTGAAGCCTTAGGATGGCTCCTCCCAATCCTAGATGGATTGGCAGCTGAGACACCCATCTATAACCAAAGACCTCCTGCTGGAATTGTATTCTATAAATATTATATTTTTTTTGGGGTCCGGTCGAGGGGCCTGAACTCTGGGCCTGGGCGCTGTCCCTCAGCTCTTCAGCTCAAGGCTAGCGCTCTACCACTTGAGCCACAGCACCACTTCCGGCTTTTTTCTTTTTACTTATGTGGTGCTGAGGAATCGAACCCAGGGCCTCAGGCATGCAAGGCAAGCGCTTTACCACTGAGCCAACTTCCCAGCCCCATGTATTCTATAAATATTATCTAAGTTCTTTTCTTCTCTCTTTGCCCTGTGGAACAAAGGGAACACATTCTCATAGGCCAAAGCACCTGCTATGAAGGAATACTTAATAAACTGAAATAGTTGGGAGTCTGTCAAAACTTGCACATCTACCTATTGGCCTCTAAATTCTCTGACTTCTAGTTTTCTCTCCACATCGATGGAGCGTGGTCATAATCAAAAGATTTTTAAAGTTGTGGTAAACTTTCAACTCCCAATGAACCTGAAACATACAGTTAGGTCATTTTTAGCTTCCTTGCTTAAATCATAATTATGGTAAATCCTCTTTTTAATATTTTTATTTGCCTTAGGCTTTTCTTATATCACCAGAAAAGCTATGAATGACCCAGAAAATTTTAAAATAGTATAATATGAACCATCAGTGTGTGTGTGTGTGTGTGTGTGTGTGTGTGTGTGTCACAGTAACAGGAAAAATGGCTGAAAATTTATCTATTATAAAGGATCAGAAAAAACTGGGAATCAGGATTCCTGGGTTGAAGTCTTATTCCTACTACTGTTGACCTCAAAGCAAGCAAGTCACTAACCTGAAGGTCACCTTCAGTCAAAGTACAACAGGAGTTTCTGGAACTCAAAATTCCTCTGATTGGGCAAGATTCAAAGTGATAGAAATGCAAATGAAATGTAAATTAAGATCTCCTCCTTCACAATTCTGAGTGCTTCAGCCAAGCCTTCCACATGCTATGGGGACAGCTTCCTGTCTCCTGCTGGGCTAAGAGTATAAAGGGTTTTCTATCATGAACTAAACAGCACCCAGACTAAGGTCTGAGGAAAAAGATACTTTCTGAAGAGTGACAGGGTTATCTGGGTGGCTCAAGCAAAGCTCGGAAGAGATCGAAACCCTTTATTATGCTAGGAAGCCATATCCATATCTGAATCACCAGGGCAGCTCTTTAAAAACAAATCACCCACGTCCTTGTTTAAACAATGTTTGCTAAAAATAGTACTTGAGTCATGGGTTTTTAATTTGTTAGCACAGGGCTTCTAGACATGAATTTCAACTCTATAGAGAGTTGAAAGAAATTTAATTAAAGGACTGAAGATAACATTAGTTACAATACTATAATAGATACAATGGCTGTAATTCTCAAAATTGTATTGGATGATTCTGAAATGAGATAGCCTTTCAATCATATTCGTTACGAACAGTTCTCCCAGAATTATTAATCGTATTATGTTGGCTGTGATGAATTAATTTAGCAACAGAGTGATATCTGCACGTACTAATATAAATGACGCCATATCTATCGATGACATTATTAGAAATGAGGACACATAGATGAACCCGTGAGTTCTTTGGGTAAACCATTACCTTTTACTATCAAGTTTCCAGTACTGCTGGCAGTTCCAAAATGGTTAGTGGCTACACAGGTATAACTTCCGGCGTCTGATTTAGTCACATTAATGATTCTGAGGTTTCCGTCTTCAGAAATGGTAATTCTGCAATCAAAGAAAATAAACTCAAAAGGATGAACTTTATCTCATGTGAGTTTTCGGAAATTATTTCTGTCATTCTGTCATCTTTCAAACTAGGGCTCATGGCTGAATCACTTGACTGCCACATCTTTATTTAAGCTCTTTGTCTTCATTTGCATAAACCTTATTGGGATGTGGAAAATTCCACATTTGTTGAATGATGCCAATACTTGCCTTGTTAAAAACAGTCTCAATATGTGATTACCCCCCCCACCCCCCCCACACACACACGACCAGTCATAACCATTTCTCTTTGGTAAGCTCTAACTACATTACAATAAGAGAAAGCTTGTAGATCATCATTAGTTGTTAAAGTGCTAATGAGAACTTAGGGAAAAGTCCCTTGATTGACTATGCTTTGTCATTGAAAGTACTTTTTCTAGATGAGAGTCTTAAATTAAATGAGGAATTATTAGGCACATTCATTTCTGAACTATGTCAGCCAATACATTTTTAACGAGATACAAACACTGAACTTAAAAAGAAAAAAAGCTAAAATATTGCACAACTTGTGACTTTGGCAGAATAGCAAATGTGACAGTATATCTTAGGCCCTAAAATTAGTGGCAAACATCTATTTCCTGCTGGGAAGGAAGTACTTTCTTTGAGAGGTACAAGAAGTAGAAAAGGAAGGATTTTAGAAGAACCTATTTCAACATGACTAGGAAGAGAGGGGTAGAAAATTACATAGATGAATAAGACAGATAGCTTAGTTAGAGCTAGGAGACGATGCTTTAAAAACAACAACAGCCCGGCGCCGGTGGCTCACGCCTGTAATCCTAGCTACTCAGGAGGCTGTGATCTGAGGATCATGGTTCAAAGCCAGCCCAGGCAGAAAAGTCGGTGAGACTCTTATCTGCAATTAACCACTAGAAAACCGGAAGTGGTGCTGTGGCTCAAGCAGTAGAGCACTTGCCTTAAGTTGAAGAGCACAGAGATAGCCCCCAAGCCCAGAGTTCAAACCCCATGACTGACAAAAACAAAACAAAACAAAACAAACAAAGCAAGTAAGGATGTGGTAGAATGCTTGCCTTATAAAGCCACATATATAGGAAAAAAACAGAAGTGGTGCTGTGGCTCACGTGAAAGAGTGTTAACCTTGAGCAAAAGCAGCACAGGAATAGTGCCCAGGCCCTGAGTTCAAGTCCCAGGACTGGCAAAGAGAAAAAAAGTAAGTGAACACATTATTTTCTGACATGTGTACTTATTTTATATACTGAAATGTCTCAAAGCTACATTTCTTTGTGTGTTTATGTGTCAGAGAAAGGGAGAGAGAGAAAGAGAGAGGGAGGAGGGGGGGAGAATGAGGCAGGTAGTACTGGAGCTTGAACTCAGTGCTAGGCCCTTAGTTTTTTCACTCAGGACTAGCATTCTACCACTTGAGCCACACAGCTCTACTTCTGGGTTTTTGGTGGCTCAAAAGTCTCTTGGACTTTCCTGTCTGGTCTGGCTTTGAACTGTGATCCTCAGATCTCAGTCTCCTGAATAGCTAGGATTATAGGCATGCGCCCTTGGTGCCTGGCTTGTGACTACATTTTAAAGTGTCCTTTTTGCTCCATCTCCTCTTAGTTTTCCATTTTAGGTGATGACCTGTAGCTTTTAGCTTGATATTAGAATTTACATTCATCCTAATGCTCATGAATAGTGATAGAACTGGATAAGAATTGAAAATGTCAATCCAGTCTCTCATTTAGAATAGGTTAGTCCTGACCTACTGGGATTTTTTTTTAAATACTAATAAGCTCAGAGAAAAGTCAAAGATGATAAAGCAGTAAGTAATAAAAATAAAGTTTTGGCATGCAACTTAATTCTCCTAATTCACAGCATGTTAAATTACCTACAATTTAAGGAAGCAGGTGTTTCCACATTGTCATTAGAGAGTTCAGATGCATACAAGACAGTATCACATCTGAAATTATGAGATAAACTGAATTTACCTTCTTCCTGTGTTGTGTGAAGCTTTGGGTTATACTCAGTGAAGAGCTGACCTTGTCAGTTCTATAAATCAAAACTAGTCTGGGGACAGGGGATCTTTAAAAATGCTGATCTTTTCTTTTTGGGGGCTTTGGTAACAGATGACAAAAGCTGCCAACTCCACAATATTCTATCACCCGAAAGAGGAAGTTTATCCCAAGATGGTGGCCTCTGATTTTTGTGACCAGCCAGCTCTGTATGGAAGTTCAACCACTGGAGAGGGAACAGGACATCCTTGCTTGCATTTGAGTCCCTCTGAAATATTTCCACTATAAATTAAATTCCTTTTGATTAGGTTGAAACCCACTTTTTTTTCCTGCAAAGGATAGACACTATCCTCGCAACCAAGAAATGAAAAAAAAAGTTTCAAACTGTTACATTTTACATAATTTTCAACGTTGGTAGATCAGTGATAACATAGTTCACTTAAAAGTATGTGTGATTTAAAATATACTGAAAAGCATTGTGGACGGTGGCTTATGTCTGTAATCCTAGCTATATAGAAGGCTTAGGTAAGAGGATCATAGTCCAAGCCTGCTCCTGGACAAAAAAAAATGCTCATTAAATAATAACTAAAGCAAAATTGGTCTAGAGATATAACTTAAGTGATAGAGGGTCTGATTAGCAATTGTAAGGCCTTGAGTTGAAACCTCAGTACTACCACACACACACACACACACACACACACACACACACACAAACAGAGTTATAATTAGTTTCCCCTGATTTTTATACATGATAGGTTCCTGAACACATGTCCTAAAGTTAAAAGCCTAAAAGCAAAACAATAGATTCACATGCTCCAAGGAAGGCTAGCATCCCTGAAGAGCTAAAATATAACAAAATACCAAATCTACAAGTGTTGCCATATCTCACAAATTGGCAGGAAGGTGGAACTATGAGAGGAGGCCACTAGTGATGCCCGAGAAGGTGGCTAGTTGAAACAGGAATCACCAACCAGGGGTCTCTCGTACCATACAACGTACCCTCCATCCTCAAGCCAGAGCAAAGACTGCCTAAACTCAAGTACGTTTGCTTTGTTCTGCACCTTATAGTCAGTCTCTTATTGAGAGATTCATGTAACAACCCCTTTTCTGGCTAATTACAACAGATGGAATAAAGGGGAAGACTGGTAACATGCCCCTTCGGGGCAGCAATGGGCTGAAGGAAAGAAGCCCTCTGCAGCAGATGAACTCCCGTTAAGTTGCTACCTGGTTCCTGTGTACCTCTAAGCCGATGCCATGTGCTGAGGACACGGCAGGGATTGGGGCAGCCTGAAGGTAAGGTAGCCATCCGTGCCCCCTCCACCCTTTCCAGCCTTCCTCCCTCTCCAAACACACTACACAGAGAGAACGCAGCAATAGAGCAGAAAGGGAATTGGCTGCCAGAGCACAATACCACAAGAGCCTCTCCTCTCACACATTGGCAGATGCAAAGACAGAAATCAAAGGAGAGGCAAGGGTGGTTGCAGAAAGCTGCTCTGGGGAGACACTGTCCCCTACCTCTTCTTTGCTTGCTTCTGGTGGCTTCTGGCCACCTGTGCTATCCCTTGTCTTGTAGAGACATTGCTCTATGCTGTCTCCAAGATAGTATGGTGCTCTGTCTGCATGTTCTTTACATCCTCATACTTTCACAAGTGCTTGTTCTCAAATTTCTCGCCCATTAGGACAACATGGGTCACTGGGTCACATTAAGCCTGTGTGCCCTCCTCTCAGTTTGCTCATCTCTGCAAAAACAATACACAAAACCTATTTCCACATGGCGTTATATTTCTAGGTTCTGTGTGAAGAAGAAATTTTGGGAGGGGAGACAATATTTAACTCACAATTGGTATCAAGACATGACTAGAAGTTTTGGTCCTAGGTAAACAACTGCTTTCCAAACTCCCTTTGTGGACTTCAGAGAATGACTGGGAAAGGGCAGGACTGGGAGAGGGTGTGGCTTGTAGAGGGTGGGGCCAGGGGAGGGTGGGGTCAGGGGAGGGTGGGGCTTAGAGAGGCGTGGCTGGGAAAGGTGTCTGCGGCTATGGGCTGGACCCAGCACCACCTTCCATCCTCACTGCTAGCTCCCTTCCCTAGCTGTACAAAGTGCAGCTCTTTCCCCCAACAGCAGCTAAGGAGGTCTTCGAAAGGATTCTCTTCTTGTAACACATTATCAATCAAATACAGAGTCAAATCTGATGATGCATAAGGCCCAACAGGATAAAAACAGAATCAAGATTTGCTCAAGATTAAGTCATTCTTTAACTCAGTTTATCTGTTGGATTCAACTGGATTTCTGATTCTGTCCATTTTTTTTTGTTACTCTGGGTAATTATGTGCTTATTTTGATATCAAAGTTATAGCCAGAATTATAGGAGGCTTAGACCCCAATGGAACTCTATGATTTTCTGAGCTATTATGCCCAAGGCTGAAGTGTTTCTAAGGATGGTAGTGACCTTGCCTGTTCTTGAGGTCACAGCAATATAGTATAGTTTTAGAATACAGTACTCAGGACACAGTAAAACTATCAAAGGAATGGCAATGAAGAGACAGAGAGAAGACAAGAATGTCCAAACTACCAAGAGAGGACTACCTATATGGATTTTGAAAGGGCCTTCCTCAGCCATGTGCCTCCAGGAAATTAGAAGAGCTAGGCAGATTAACAAACCTTGGAATGCTCCGGATTTACTTGACAGTAATATCCAAACTTTTCTCTGAAGTGGGGGCAGAGGGGGGAAGAGAACTTGTTTTGGTTTGAATTACCTAGCTATCTAATCTAATTTTAATGTTTAACAGGCATTTGCTCAAGATTACAAGTTAAATTATTTCAGAAGATATACTGTTCCAGGTGTCAATGGCTTATGCTATAACCCTAGCTACTGAGGAGATAGTTCAAAACCATCCTGTGCAGACAAATCTGTAAGACTCTTAACTCCATTTAACCACCAAAAAGCCTGAAGTGGAGCTGTGGCTCAAGTGGTAGAGCATTAGTCTTGAGCAAAAAATCTA